CTTCCTTCCTTCCTTCCTTCCTTCCTTCCTTCCTTCCTTCCTTCCTTCCTTCCTTCCTTCCTTCTGTGGTGCACAGTGGTTAGAAGGCAGTGTTGCAGGCTAACTCTGCTTACTGCCAGGAGTTCGATTCTGACAGGCTCAAGGTTGACTCAGCCTTCTGTCCTTCCGAGGTGGGTCAAATGAGGACCCAGATTGTTGGGGGGGCAAGAGGCTGACTCTGTAAACCGCTTAGAGAGGGCTGTAAAAGCACTGCGAAGCGGCATATAAGCCTAAGTGCTACTGCTATTTCCCTGAGGCTGGCATGGCGCTGCCTTGCCCACTGAGATAGCACGGCATTTCCAATTCCAGAGTGGGAAGTGCTGGCAAAGAGCTTCCATTCCGCCCTTCCGGGCTTTGAGGAAAGAGGCTGGGAGCGAGGACCAGACTGCCAGAGACCTCCCCGCAGCCTTCTCAGCAACAAATGCTGGAATGATCCTGGGGGTGGGGGAAGGGAGGGGGTGGTCCCCAAAGACCCCCGGGGCTAAAGCCATTGTGCAGGCAGCTGCCCAGCTCCGCTTAGCCCCCAAGGGAAGAGCATCGCTTACTCTAGGAAGCCGGGTTTGTGCTTGTGTTCCACATGAGGCCCAAACTGGATCTGTGCCTGGAAAGCGCCGAATTCGCAGGCCTTCTCGAAGGACACCGGGTGGGAACCGTTCAGAATGTCGTCCCGGGCCTAGAAAGCAAGCGGGGGAAGAGTCCACATCAGCTCCAAAGATCTCGACTCCTCCTTGGCCACGTTTTCCAAGAAACTCAGCACTCCCCTTCCTTCCAAAGGAAATGAGAAGGAGCACCTGCAAGAGGCCATTCAAAGCAGCCGCCTCAGTGGGAATGAAAACCGTCACCTGAATGGACTTACTCACACGTGGGGCTAAAATACCCCTTTCCGGCTCCCAGGAGTCTGCAAACCAAACCCCCTTTTCCTTTCAATAAATCTAGTTCAGGGGTCCCCAAACTTGGCAACTTTAAGACTTGTAGGGGGGGAAGGGAGGTGGGGTGTTAGGGGGGAGGGGGGATATATAGTATGTGTTAGATTTCAAGGTAACGCGATTGCACATGTATACTGTTGCTCTTTAATTTCACTGTAAAAATATGACAGGCTGAATATATTAACAGATAGTAGAAATACACCGAAGGGAGGAGTAGAGGGANACCTCGGAAGGATGGAAGGCTGAGTCAACCTTGAGCCGGTGAGATTTGAACTGCTGAACTGCAGATAACTATCAGCTGAAGTGGCCTACAGTGCTGCACCCGAACCACTGCGCCACCTCGGAGAACCCCAAACCCTAAAACCTGTGATCAATTCCACCCTCAGAAATCCCCCTTTTCTTCAGTTCCCGAGAGACCAAGAGAAAATGGTGAGGAAAAGAGGAAAGAAGGAAAAAGATTTACCAGTAAAATAAAATGAAATATGTTAACATTGTTAATGGCATGTAGTTAAAATGATGTGAGGGAAATAGACGAATGCTATTAATTGTGGATAATTAACTAAGTGAAATGTTTACTATACAAAATTAAATCTGAGGTCATATGTTTCCTATAGTAAAGTAGAATAAAAGATGGAAATGAAATGTTAAGTTTGATTAACTTGGGAGGGACAAGTAGTGATATTGTTTATCTACTAAGAAGGAAGAAATTAAACCTAAGATGGAAAAAACGGAAAGAAAACAATAGGGATGAAATTGGAAATGGAAATATGATGCAAAATGAACTATGCATATGAGAAGATGTTAAGGGGGGAAACCCGGCCAACGCTCCATTTATAAAAGAAGTCAAATAGGTAACAAAAAATTTAAGAAAACTTTGTTTTATAAAAAGAAAGCTCCTTTCTCCTCCTCCTCTGCTTTCTTCACTGCAGTCAAAGGCGATTAAACCCCCTCCTGTCTTGGAGAGAAGGCACTGAAAAGCAAACCAGCCTTCCAACCAGACACAAAACTATAATTTAGGGTAGGAAGTTTGCCAAAGGGAGCCAAAGAGAGGAAGAACACCTGCTTCCTCTACATTTGACAGAATGCCACAAACCACACACGCACACACACACACAGACACACATGCACACATGCAGAAAAGTCCGTTGAGATGCGTGCTGTCTCCCTGATTGGGGTAGAAGGCTCCCTTTTCAATTACCTGGAATATTCTCTTTTCGGCTCCTCTTTGCTTGATGTATTCTTTGGGGAGAAATTCCTTCAGACTGTAGGAACAAGAAGTCACAATTAATGAAGGTGGCCTCCTCCTCCTCCTCCTCCTCTCGACTGGAAAACATTCGGCTGCAGACGTTGGGGAGAAGATCCAGGGAGTCAGGCTAGGCTGGCTGGGGCATTCTGGGAATGGAAGTTCAGCAGCTGGCCAGTTGGGATCATTCCATTATTAGCACGCCTGGATGCTCCTCCCTCCTTAAAGAAAGCACCCTCCTCGGGGGGGCAAAGGGTGGGGACGAGGCCCCATCAAGCCTTCTGAAGCTGAACTCTGAGCAGCTGTTCCCGAGGAGGCGCAGAAACCTCCAGATGTGATTAAGCCACATTATTTAAATCCCGTGGGGCTGCTTTAGCAAAATCTGATGGAGATCTCCCCCATCAATTCAACATCAGCAGCACCAGGAACCCTTCAAGGGAGCCTCCAAAGGATGACTCAGCCTTCCATCCTCCTGAGGTCAGTATAACCACGAGGACCCAAAATTGTTGGGGAGACTCTGCCGACTCTGTACACCGCTTAGAGATGGCTGTAAAGCACTGCAAAGCGGTATATAAGTCCAAGTGCTATTGCTAGTCCTCCCTCCCTCCCCTTAGAATACAATATTGCAGGCTACCTCTGCCCACTGCCAGCAGTTCGATCCTGAATGACTCAAAGGTTCAGCCTTCTGTCCTCCTGAGGTTGGAAAAATGAGGACCCAGATTGTTGGTGGGGGGGCAAGAGGCTGACTCTGTAAACCGCTTAGAGAAGGCTGTAAAAGCACCGTAAAGCGGCATATAAGTCTAAGGGCAATTGCTATTTTCCTTCCTTCCTTCCTTCCTTCCTTCCTTCCTTCCTTCCTTCCTTCCTTCCTTCC